GAGTGGGGACAACAGCAAGTCCGGTGAAGTCCCCACGTGTTTGGAGCACAGCGCACACCACGTCGAGACCAGCCCAGGGCCAGCACGCTGAGGGCACAGGGCGCTGTCGTGTGCGTCAGTCTGACACCGGGGGGCGTTGATGGAGGGCTGGTGTGGAACTTTCAGCTGTCAAGAGGAGGAAGAGCACCTCTCTGAAGCAAAAGTTAATCATTTATAAAATGCCTCCCCAGGTCATTCGAGGTAATAACCACATGGCACATCTCGTGTGAATGGGCAGGAGGTCAACATCGGGGGGGTGACGGGTCTTGACGTGCAGGTTGTTCCACACCCCCACTCCCCATTGCGTACAGTCGGGCCTGTCGTTTCAGCCTGTATCTGTTGGTCTTGGTTGCACTGTGAGAGCAGATAGTAAAACAACAGCTCCTGAATCTGAGTCGGTATCCCTGTCCTCACTGTTCATTCGGGGAAAATCCCACCATTCCGACGCGGTCGTCAGCGATGACTGTGAACAGCGGCGCCCGGTTCAGGTGTCGTTCTCCGTCTACGGCCGGCTCCTTCGCACCCGAAGCCGTGCTGCCCCTCGGACTCGCCCAGTCACATTCCAGACATTCCAGAGCCGGAATGACGTGGGCTCTGCGCCAGTTTCCTCCAGGGCTCGGGGGATGCCAGGCGTGCTCGGAGAAGACCTGGGGGGGGGCGAGGATGACTCTGCGCGGGAGTCATTTGAACTCTCCCTACAGTCACAGGTCCTGCAGTGCTACCTAGTGTTCAGAACACGCATTGCGGTTCAGAAAATCCCTTCTCCCCTTTCCACTGACACTTCCTGCACAGACGTGTTTCTTCCAGAGACTCCCGTACTCTACCTGGTGCACCCCCAACACTCCCGGTCCTACCCACTGAGAGACAGAGCCTGGGAACCAGTGGCGGCACTGGGGTGTCTGTACCGCTGCTCAGCGAAGACAGACGTCCCCAGTCATCCCGTCACGCCGGCTGTGGACAGAACCGGGGGTGGTCTCTGGGTTCGGGCTCTCAAGAAACCCGTGTTCCTCACGACACCTTCGTCAGGTCAGTTCTGACGCAGCCAGCCCAGTGAGATCTACAGCACGGCCTTCTTCTTCGAGAGCCTGATCTGTCCACAGTGCTGTGCCAGCAGCACCCCGATTAATCCTTTATTTCACCCACACCTTCATGTCCCCTGACAACCTGGAGACCCGCAGGTCTCAGGGCTGTGTACTTTACTACGACCAGCTGTGTGAAGTACCTCACTCCACCTTGGATTTGAACCAGAGCACTGACTATGCCTCCACATTGCCGTTTTATAGAAAACCCTCCTGCGGTACTTGTTCCACACTCCCACCACCCTTGGAGTAAAGAAGTGCCTCCTGTCCTCTGTTTCAAGCGCATGTTGAGAATGCACGTTACTGATCTGTGAAAGTGTAAAGCAGCTCGCATTGGTGCTCATGGATTCAGCTGCTATTTGACTAGAATAAGATCAGATCTCTTTATCAGCCCTGTACAATGTCTTGCATGAGGAATGTGTCTTTTCCCAGACCCCAGCCTGCTCTCCATGAGACACACAGACAGGGAGAGAGAAGCTGGGGGTCAGGGCGCAGGGTCAGCCATTTATACGGCGCCCCTGGAACAGCTGGGGTGAAGGGCCTTGCTCAGGGGCCCAACGGAGTAGGAATCCTCTGCAGGGTTTGGGATTTGAACCAGCAACCTCCCAGCCACAGGCACAGGTCCTGAGCCACAGAGCCACTTCCCCACTTCCATAAGCCTTGAATAAGCTGTGTTATCAGACTTATTCTTGAGTAACAATAAGCCTTGTGAAGTAACACAGCCTCCGAACAGGCGGTTTAGAAAAGCACCACAACTGGTTCCACACTCCCACCACCCTTTGTGTAAAGACAC